TAAAAATGGCCAAAACGACGTCGTTTTGGCCATTTGAGCCACTTTTGAGCCACAAAATTTGAACTACGAGACATTTTCCTTTTATTTTTTTATTTTTTAGGGTGCACGTGTGTATGTATTTCAGTTTTGCATTATATCACGTTACATGCATTTTATCAGGTAGTGCACGTCATCAAGTATTATTACAGCTATTGGATGGTTCTATACTAAAAAAAGGGTGATATATAATAATTAAGACCAAAATTAACAAATTATTTACCAATAAGTTCACTTAATAAATAAATAAAATTTAAAGTATATATATATATATAAAAATAAATTCATTTTTAATTGATTTTTATTCAATAATTAGCTAATAAATGAAATTTTTTCTGTGAATTGAAATTTTTTAAAATGAAAAAATAAAAGTTCTGCTTATGGGACCCACATGTGATCTTGACCCAATTTTTTTTTTTTAAATCAGCAAAGAAAAGGGAAACTTTATTAATGAACACAAAAATATGATTACATCAATAAAGAAGAGAGGGAAGTGGGAGAGGAGTGCAAAGAGCATCATAACGAAACAAAACAATCCCAACTAGGTTGGCACTGGTAAGATCGCCCAATCATATGCTAGCACACCACCAAGAATTGGAGAGTTGGTAAGTAACCAACCACAATCTGCAAACCCAAACCCAAAACACAACCAAAAAACTAAAAACATGACAAAGCCAACAGATAAAACACAAAAACAACATCCAAAAAAGCTAAAACAACATCCAAATATAATCATTGGGTAGTATTTTCCTATCCTGCTGCTATTTTAACACCAGCTCCTGCACTCAGCAGGCCTCTGCACTGCATAAGTCAGCCAACCAGCAACTAGCAAACATCAACGCAGCAGCAACCAGCAAGTGAGCACCCACCAATCAACAGCTTCACAGCCGCCTCACAACAGCCTCACAACAGTCTCACTGTCAAGTTGAAATACAGCAGAACTGATAGCAGAACTAACAGCAAAACTAACACACCCACAAGCATAACCCACAAACAAGGCACAGACTGAGGATCCCCTATGCAAGTCAAATACAACAGCATACAACAAGGTAACCAGCAGACCAGCATCAGAACTGAGTACCATTCAGCAGACCTCAAGCAGCAACAAACAAGTCAGATACATTAGTATCATACAGCATCAGACCTGCACTCATATGAGCTGCACCCCATCCCCTACCTCAAAGCAATATGACATACAGTAGCATGCCTCCTATATAATTTTGCTCAGATGTTCTCTATATGTAATATGATCATGATCAATTACAGAAGGAACTGAAGACCAGCCCAGCATATCAGCAAATAGAGCATAACAGCAGTAAACCAGCCCAGACCAACACAAATACAACATACCAAACAATACAGCAGTAGTCAAGAACAGTCCAGCATATTTGCCTAGCAGTCCAATAGCAGAACATAACTAACAGCAGATTCAACCACCATTTCTGATGCAGTATTGCACTTGTTGCAAATTAAATACCATATCAGTAACAGAAAACACCACATCCATTGGAGAAGCCTTCAACCACATTGCTACTCTCACCTTCACTATATCACACAGTTCATCCCAATTCGGTTGTATGCCATGAAACACGCACTCATTTCTGTGCTTCCAAATGGACCACATGATGGCTAAAGGAATAACTGCCCAAATTTTCTTTTCCATCTTTTTCATTCTACTCCCAGACCACCACTGCAGCACACCATTAACAGAGCCAGGCATAACCCACTGGAAACCCCACCATTTTACAATGTTTGACCAAAGCCTCCATACGAAAGGGCAGAAAAGAAGAATATGATCTACTGTTTCTACCTCGCTTTGACAAAACACACAGACAATAGATGCATTCCCATCAAGGATACCGATTCTTTGCAAAAAAGCTAGAAGTTTTAACCTTACCTTGCCAAGCCAACCACCCAAAAAATTGCACTTTGGGAGGAGTATAATTATTCCAAATTGATCCTGCCACATCCAGCTTAAACCCAAGGAAAGACTCACACTAATTATAGGCTGAAGAAACAGTAAACATCCCTGATGTGTCTGCCTCCCAGATCAATTCATTTGTTTTGTTGCTGCAAGGTGTAGGTATAGTATTAAGCAGAGTGTAAAATCTACTAACCTCTTGCTCCTCCCAAGCCAGCAGTGCCCTTCTGAAACCCACTTTCCAACTGCCAGCTTCACCCCTTCTCTGAAAGAAACTCTTTACCACTCCCTATTTGTTAGTGGATAAGGAAAACAACCTGGGAAATTCCTCCTTGAAACATACGTTCCCTGCCCACTTATCTAACCAAAAATGTGATCTCCTTCTATCCCCCAACACAATCTTGGCATTATTAAGGTAGTAATTATGTAGATTTGAATTACACAAGACATTATGCATTAAATCAGACCACAGCTGAGATCCTCTTCCAACCAAGCTTGGTAACCATCTACCACCCTCTATATTATATTTCCTACAAATCACTACTTTCCACAAAGATTGATGCTCAGACCCAAACCTCTACCACCATTTTAATAACAAGCATTCATTTAAAGTTCTAATCCTTTTCACCCCTAATCCACCAAGAGCCGTATTTTTAGTAATAACCTCTCACTTCACCATATGCACATTCCTTCGAAGATCAGATCCACCCCAAAGGAAGACCGATTGGATTTTTTCAATCTCTTTAGCCACCCCTACAGGAATCTTGAATAAAGATAAGTAGTAAATAAGCAGGTTGGTCATGACCGATTTGATTAGAGTTAACCTTCCAGCAAAAGAAAGCACCATTCTCCTCCAAGTAGACAGTTTTTTCTTAAATTTATCTAAAACATGTGACCAAGTACTTTTCCTACCTGGGTTGGCCCCTAAAGGCATCCCTAAATATTTCATAGGTAGCTTCTGTTGCAGACAATTAAAACTAGTGGCAAAAGCTTGCATCAGCCTATCATCCATGCCCACCCCACAAATGACACTCTTGTGGTAGTTTATTTTCAAGCCTGATAAAACCTCAAAGCATCTCAGAATTCGTTTAAGGTTCACCACTTCCACCCAGTTAGCTTCACAAAACAAAATAGTGTCATCTGCAAATTGTAAATGGGAAACTATCACACCATTACGGCCTACTTCAGCCCCTTTTATGAATCCCAACTCCTTGGCTCTACACAACAAGATATTTAGCCCCTCTGTTACAATGTTGAAAAGAAATGGTGACAATGGGTCACCTTGCCTCAGACCCCTCTGGGGACTAAATTTAGATGTTGGAGACCCATTGACCAAGACAGAAATCTTAGTAGAAGACACACAAGTTCTCATCTAGCTCATCCATTTCTCACCAAAGCCAAAGTTTGAAAGCATGGAAAATAAGAACTCCCAATTAATTGAGTCATACGCCTTTTCAAAATCCAATTTGATTACCAAGCCTTTTTTATTACATGTTTTCCACCCATCAATCACATCATTAGCCATCAAAACGCCATCTAGTATGTGCCTTCCACCCAAAAAAGTAGACTGAACCTCACTAATTATCCTGGGCATTACCTATTTAATCCTGTTTGCTAGCACCTTAGCAAGAATCTTGTACAAAGAGCCAATCAAACTAATGGGTGTAGACGTCCTCGAACGTCCCGGGAGAGAATCCCGTTTTGTTCGTTGGGCTTACCACAGTTCGAACTCAATGTCACGGTCCTGTATCTAATCTCGCGGAGTGCAATGCAAGACCGATGAATCATCAAAGAGTCCAAATCCGGCAAATCGTTTTGAAAAATTGATTTTTAGAAAGAAGTGCCAAACATGGACTGCTTTGCCAGATAAGGCAAAGAGGAGGAATGCAAAGCAAGTATATTATGCATGCAAAGGGGCATAAATCCGACCAAAAAAAGAGATGTAATATGACCCAATAACACCCAAAAATCTCTGAAATGAAGCCAAAAGCAACTAAGCATGCATGCTACCCTTATGAGCCAAAAATGCAAACAAAAGAGAGACAAAGGGAGAGGGGTGTCCCTCCCCTATGCAAGACCTCAAACCCTCTTCATCACCACTGAAAATCCACTGGATTTCAGTGGTGAGAAGGCCAAAACACAATAGTATTCAAAGCTAAACAAAGAGAGCACAAAAAGAGCCAAACAAGGCCTAAGAGGGGGAGGTCGATCCCAAACAACAAAATGACCTTAATGAAAGATCTTAAGCATGCAAATACAATACTTTTTCAAGTTATACACAAAGTCTAAAACAGCATGCAAAGTGGGTTAAAAACTAGTGCAAGATTGGGGAATATAAAGCAAATAGTGTTACCCTTGAAGAACACTTGAAGAACAGCAACCTCAGCCTCTTCCTTATGATCAAAACCAGCTCAAAACTCCAAGAACAACCTCTCAACACCTCCCAAGTCGAAGTATGGTGTAATATTAGGTGTTCTAGTGCAAAACTAAGAACAAACTACACTTTTTGGCTCTCTAACACACACAAATGAAGAGAGAGAGAGGGAGATATATAGAGAGAAGGTGTATATATCAGATATATATGTATTAGGTCTGGTTTTTTTGTTCAACCTCACAAAGGAGAGGGAAGGTCTCCTTATATAGAGCAAGATGGAGGCTTAAGCTTCCAAGAGAAGCTATCAAAAGCAGTCAAGGCTTCCTAAAGAAGCTAAGGCAAAGGGGCCAAGGCTTCCTTAGGAAGCTGAGACAGGTGTCCAAGCTTCTTGAGGAAGCTAAGACAAAGGTCCAAGCTTCCCCAAGAAGCTATACCAAAAGGGTAGAGGACAAGTCCGTGCACTCCAGCTGGCACAGCTGGCATGCACCATGCCTCAAAGAGGCAAAAAGGAGGTATCGGCCAGAAAAGGAGTCAATCAGCCAAATAAATGGTCGGTCGACCCACACAAAGAGCCGATACACCAACATAAGTGCCGACCGACCAAACATTTGGTCGGTAGCAAAATGGCAAGGCCAGTGGCATCATGCCACAGCCGGTGGGTTTCAGGGATGGCTAACATGCCTCTTCCCACCCTCAGAAGCAAAACAACAAGTGTTTGGTGCAAAACCAAACACAAAACAAACAAGTCGAGAGGTCTCGAGGCATGGAGCGCGACCGAAACCTCTGAGAACTCAAGACGAACACGAACATGGATGATCATGGAGTGTTCAAACGATGACGTCCAAGTCTTGAGGACGGTCAAAAATGGGGTGTCTACAACTATCCTCATCCTGAGACAAGTCCACGACTTGCTCATTCAGAGTAGGGGACTTGGCCCCAGCAATTTCCTTCTTCTTCTTGACCAAAGCTTCCTCCTCGGACTCAGAATCGTCTTCGGATTAGCTTGGAGTAGGGGAGAATGGCAGGGGGAGGTCGCCAGCATTCTTGACGGGGGAGTCCTCAGGGACATCTAGCTTCTTGAGGGCAGCCATCCAACCAAGGGTGAAACCCTTGTTGCATGCCTGCGTCACTTGTTTTTTGTAGTCCTCCTTAACGTCAGCCTCTCCCTCAGCGTACGCTTTTTCATCGGCAGCCTTGATCTCGTCCTCTTTTGTGGCCAAGGCATCCTGGAGTTCTTTTTGGGCCTCGGCTATCTTTGTCTCTACTTCTTTCTTCTCGGCCTCGGAGACCTTGGCAATAGCCTCAACAGCATCTACTTTTTCCTTGGCCTCATTTTTAGCTTTTTTTGCTTCCTCGGCCTGGTCTGTTAAAGTCTTCACCTTGGCCTCAGCCTTGTTAAGGGCCTTCTGCAAACTTGCAGCCTCCTTGGTTTTATTTACCAACTCCTTGTTGATGGCAAAAGCCTGCATCGAAAAGGAGTGGCCATGCTGAATCGCCTAAGAAGAAATGGACAAGACAAAAGTCAATAAAATTTCCTAAGTATGAGAAATAAAGAAAGTAAAGTACTAAGTGTTAGGGGCTTACTTGTACGGAATGTTGCAGCATTAGTGCAAAATTTTCATATTCGCTCATTTCGGTGTTACAGTTGAGATCGTTGGGAAGGAGCAAAGCCGTAGAGAGGGCAACGCCGACTTCGAGGTCAATCGCGTTGTCGCCACCCCGTACCGGCTTGTCCTCGATGGCGATTGAAGGGGCCCAAGGGGCATCAGATCTCATAGACCCCGAGGCTGTAGTAGACTCGGACCTCAGCCTCTTCGACCGAGTTGATTTGGATGGCTTGGCCTCGGCGGGCCTCTTCTCGGTAGCAGAGGAGATCTTCTCGCTCTCGGCCAATTTTGAAATTGGCAAGGTATCCTTAGTGTCAATCTGAGTCACCGTTGCCTTAGGCCGGGTCTTCTTCAGTCTGTTGGACTTTGGCTTTGGTTAAGGCTAGGATTGTGATGGTTAAGCGTCGACAGTGTCGGGGATGTCGGTCAGAAAATCGTCTGCAACTGCTTTCTTGCGACCCATCTTAACAGTAATTTCAGTTCGGCGTCGGCGTTTGGGTTGGGATGGAGGGATCAGTTGTGGAGCCGAGGTCGATGGTTGCTCTGCTAGATCGGAGGTTGACCCTTGATCTGGCCGAGATAATGAAACTGTTGGAGGAGTTGTGGCAGAAGAAGGAGATTTGCTTTTCTTCTTCTTCGGAACGTCCGGAAGAACCGACCTGTAATTCGGAATGAAGTTGAGTAGCAAAGGAGCTCTACGTCGCTCAACTGGCAAATCAAACAGCTTTTTGAGGTCCTTGCTGGGAAAAAAGGACTTGCGAAAGCCCTTGGGTGGCTGTGGAAGAACTGCAAGGAAAAACAGACGTTAGAACATATAGAAAGAACAAAGTATTAAAGACTTGGAAAAAATGTAACACTTGGCTCTTAGCATTACCCTCTACAAATACTATTCGGCTAAGAGAGTAGAGGTGAAGGTCCTCCTCTGGAGCGAACTCCCAGTTGCCCGAGGCATTGAAGTAATCGTCCCCGGCTTCCTTGTTGGAGTCTGGGAGGTCGGCAACAAGTTTGTATTCGGTGGACCTCGGTTTGAGGTAGTAGATGTAGCTTTTTTCTAACTTGAGGCCACACATGGTGTAGCAGTATTGGATGTCGGCTAAAGTTACCCTAGTGTTCTCTTTTTTGGCTAAGGCTATTATGCCGTTGATAACTCGATAAGAGTTTATGGCGAGCTGCATTGGGTTCAATTTGTAGTAATGGAGGACTTCCCGAAAAAGGATGTTGAGAGGGAGCCTAAGCCCACATTCTATAAAAGCTACAACTGGGAAGGGCATGTGTAGACGTCCCCGAACGTCCCGGGAGAGAAATCCCGTTTTGTTCATTTGGGCTCACTGCAGTTCAGGACTCCAATGTCACGGTTCTTAATCTGATCTCACAATGTGCGATGTGAGATTGATAAATCACCAAAGAGTCCAAATCCGGCAAATCGTTTTGGAAAACTGATTTTTAGAAAGAAGTGCCAAACATGGACTGCTTTGCCAGATACAGAGTCGCCACCTAAATGTTTTATTTTCAAGAAATTTAAGAGACCCTAACTCGTTGCCTAAGGCCGCATGTCCGTCATCACCAAAGTTGCCTCGGCTCGGGAACTTGGGTACGATTGGGGAAGGTTAGCTATGAGCACCCCCGCTCGCCCGATCAAAGATCGGCCTTTATTAACCATTATATCGAGTTTTAAAAACATATGTGTTCTTATTCTGGTTTATTAGCCTAGAATTTCTATGTGATGCGCGCAGCATACAAGTATAGGCTGGATCGCCTAAGTTGGAACAAAACATTTCCTGTTCGTTTTTTGAAAGTGGTTTGCTACTCGCGAGTAGGCTAAAATGCGGATTTTGCCACCCTTAAGTGGGCTTAGAAAAACATGGTGATCTGCCACTATCTAGTGGGCTTAAAACTCGCAATCAATGAATTGTTCCAATTCAAATAACCCAACCTTCACCCACAAGCATTCAGACAGTTATATCACATAAGCAAATAGCCTCATGGTAAGCATGCTATCATGGCAGTCACTCACACACATGCAAGGATGCTAAAGCATAAATACTTACCGAGTACTCCAAGCCAAAGAAAGAAGCTAATTAGAAAACATGTATGAATCCTAACTATGCTGAGATGCCTAATGCAACACATGCAAGAATGCAACTAAGATAGGCTCCGCTATTCTAAAAATGGCATATGAAATGCAACAACTGATACACGTATTCAACTCGGAATTGAAATACAATGCAGTTAGTATGATACGCCGAGCCCGGTGCATGCAAGACAGATGAATGAATGCAAACATGCGAACATAAGTATGCTAATTAAAACATGCCCTAAACTAACCATCATAAGCTAGTAAATAAAAGGGAGAAAGACGTGGGGTTGGAAGACATACATCGCACACACGCA